TCATTATACTTCCACGTGATTTCTGTGCGGTTGGTCTCTACGTGACATACTTAGTGGAAACCTCATAGAAAGCGGCTCTGAAGAAGGCGAAATCCGCCGAAACGTCAGCTTAATCGTGAACAAAGAATAATAACACCTCGCGTTTGCTCAACAAAAATACGAAGAAAATCACTTGATCAATGCCAAGGTTAATAGAAGGTCGGTCGTGGCAGTTAAAAGATGCTTCTATGCATTAAACCCACTGATGTGTCCAACGTTACTACTGTCATTTGAACCCTCATGTTTTTCCTCCATTCCATCAAAGCAGTGGTGACTCTATGTGCAGTGACATGTCAGCTGTAAAAACCACACAACTGCTCGTTTTACTTTCCGCTGTTTATTATTAACAATGAAGATTTTAAATTATTAAGGACCATTAAAGAAAAATTTCAGCAGCAACGCTTCTAAGAGCATGGTTTAAAGACGTGATAAGCAATGTGAGAAGTGAATATGAAGTTATTGCCTCTATATCTTATTCTCATCAAATATATTCCAAACATTTCTTCTGTATCTGCATCGAACCCTCCGACAATGATCGGTAATGCTACACTAAAATGCAGGTTTGAACCATCACATGCTTTCATTCACATAATTCAAACCCCCTAGAGTCTCATAATGTTCTCATAGTGTCAACAGACTTTTCTAATAATAACTCCCATACCTGAAAAATGTTCCAAGTAGATTGAAAATCTTAGGTGGTGTTGATGAGGCTTGACTTTATGTCTTTAGAACATTCATAATTAGATAATCTAATATCAACCTAAGATTCCCAAAAAGCTTAACGAGAACAATGTATTGAAGCAATCAAGATCTGATAAGAAATGGAAGTTCCACATAACTAGAAGATTATGATTTGGCGTTAGTACGCCCTATTAAAACAATATCAATAATAATCGCTGCCTTGAAGCTACTTGTTAAATCATTTCTAATAAAAATTCCAAAGCAAACACTAACATTGTTGCATAAAAGTGTGCACTAGATGTTTCAAAGATCAAAGTCGATATTCTACGTACCAAATACTAAATCCTTGTCACTTTTACGCGGAAATATTCAATTATGTTGTTCCTAAAGCCAAACGAGTGAGTTGCTAGTGAGAGGCCCAACGAAAGAATCCTAGCTATAAAGTCCAGAAAAAGTGATATTCCTCGGGCCACCTGAAACCAGTCACCATTTCCACAACAGGTCACAACGGTTGTAGTATTTAAAACATTTCACATAGGATTCCATGTGATTTCCTACACAGTGGTAGATTTAAGCGAGAGCTGACGTAGAAAAACATATATTTTCCGATAAAAACGTGATGCAGTTTTACTATGGAAATCTGTGTTGAAAATTCAGATTCGCAAAAGCTTCTCACGAGGCATGGCATCGCTGCGACTGCGTTCCAGTGGGCAACGACGGATCTGTACATGTGGTCTGTCATCGACTGCTCGCTTCTACCGTGCCCTCTCTTCCCACCGTCAGCTATCAACCTCAACCAACACCTAATGTTATAGCCCTATCGATGACCGAAGGTGATCTCACATTTATTCAACAAGACGCATTTCGGATGAACGACATTCAAGCGCTTGATTTCTCTGACAATCAAATTCAGACGGTTAATGTGAACGCTTTTCGCGGGCTTGAAGTAAGTTGACAATTCAATTACGAAAGAGTGTGCAAGGATAGGTAAAACAAAGTGCTCAAGTACGAAGTCCGCTTGGTACGAATTGCAGCGAAATAAATGCGAAAGTAAAGAAAGAATAAAAGTTCTCAGTTCAGTCAGCAGTTTTGGAATTTAAATAAACGAAACTGCTTTTTGGAAGCTCCAAATATGATGTCTAAAGTTATCTTCAAGTAAGACTCCTTTTATGTGAAAATTGGTAAGCCTTTTTGATTTATTACAAGAATAAAGGTTTTCTAGATTAACGGTGCGGTTTCATTACACCCACAATAACCAAGCCGCCCCCCCCCCCCCCCCCTCCCGTGCATTCCAGATCTCTTAGTAACTCTTAGTCTATTCAGATGAAGCTCACACACTTGAGTCTCAGAAGGAACAACCTAACGGTGATACCTACTTGGGCGCTAACTTATCTACATCAGTTGCAAGTCTTGCGCTTAGATGGAAATCGTATCAGTCATATCCGAGCCAACACATTTGATGAGACACAACTCAACAACCTTCACTTCCTACATCTAGACAACAATCAGGTAAATTCTCTTACTATAGAACTAGACTAAACTATCTCGATTAAGTAGTTTCCTTCCTATATTCACAATATTCATACAGTTAGTATTATTTTCTGAACTACTTGTGAGAGAAAAGCTTTCAATACCCTCTGCCAAATGGCTATCTTCTTCATCATACCTAATAAGCGTTATTGCACAGCTCGCGACTTTCCTACGAACCATGGCTACGAGGCAGAGTATACGTAACGAATTCGAAAACGCACTTTTAAATATTGTCGTTTAGATACAACTCATTCCAAACATGGCTTTTGCGAGACTACGATTAATCGTACTTACGCTGTCAAACAATCGAATTACACATTTGGAAAAACTGTCTCTGCCATCTTCGATAAGTATCCTCGAATTAAAGAATAATTTGCTAACTGAGGTATATTTCCAAAATCAGCCGCTTCCCAAATTTTCTCAAAGGCTACGTTTTACTTCAAAATATTGACTTTTCAGATTCCATACCTAGCTCTAAAGGATAAGACTGCATTACAAGTTCTAGACTTTGATGGAAACAACATTTCATCTCTGCAATACAACCCAGAAGTCTCGTTCAAAACCGAGTTGAACCTTGTTCTACGAAATAACAATATTCGAAGTTTATCAGCCACGTCTTTGAAAAGCTTCAGAAAATTCAAAGAACTTGATATAAGTTACAACCAAGTACGTCAGCCAAAGATCCTCACTCAAAAAATAAGTGATTGATTACTTTTTTAGATATCCAGTGTTCATCGAAGTGCATTTGAAAGCATCAGTCATATAAAGGCACTCGATTTGAGCTATAACTCTATCGCATATATAGAACGCGGAACGTTCAAGAATTTGGCAAAGAATTTGGAGCGATTGAATCTTGAAGGAAACATTTTTCATGCCTTACCAGAAGCTCTGGGTGACCTATGGAATTTAACCCACTTAAATTTAAATGGAAACAAATTAACTAGGTGAGTTAATCATGAAAAATTCTAACAATTCTTCTTTTGACGTTTATTTTTGAGAAGATCATGCAGGTTGGACAACAAGATACTAGACGGACTGAAGAATGAACTTGTGGAGCTTTCGCTGGCTTATAATCGACTGAAGATTGTTTCATTGGACGTGTTTATTGGAATGACCCGACTGCAACACCTAGACTTATCCAAGAACAATATCAACAGACTTGACAGATCATTATTAAGCACATCTATTGGAATGGGAACAAACTTGGCATATTTGGACTTAGCTGGAAACCAAATTAAGAGCATAGACGATAAAGACACATTTCTTTACATGGGATCATTAGCCCATTTTGATCTCTCCTATAACCAAATCGAAGAAATTGAACCAAAATCCATCGAAAAGTTGGCACGATTGGAAAAGCTTTATCTACAGGTAGATCCAGCTTTTATATTTTTCTTTAAAAAAAAAAGCGAGCTCAATTTCAGAACAACAAACTCAGGCGATTTCCACTCCATGTAGAAGGTTTGCAAAGCCTCAGACAACTGAATCTCGACAATAACCTGATTGAAACACTGCCTGACTATGCTCTCATCTCTGCTTATCGCCTCGAATCCTTCTCTATAGCTGGAAATCGGATCCGCTCTATAAGCGACAAAGTATTCCACTCCAATTATTCAAAACGACTGAAATCACTGAATCTATCTGGGAACAGAATTTCAGTGATTCCAAAAGGAACTTTTCAAAACCTGGAACAACTACAAGTAGTAAAACTCAACAAGAACCAACTGCGTATAATTGACTCACTGGTGAGACTTTGAAAAAATGACGCCTTCGGTCCGTTATTAAATCGGAAAATTTCGAAGTAGACTACGAATTTTGCAAACCACTTGTAAAAGACTTTGAAAGCCACAAAGTTATCCTTTCTTACCGCTGATATGAATTAACTTAATGTGTGTCATTTAATTGATCTCATCCAACGTAACAACCACTATTTTCAGGCGTTTTCCGAGCTCCCTAGCTTGCGCTATCTCGATCTATCAAACAATGTGATCGTGCAAATACTTCCACAGGCTTTTGCAGCATTACCAGTTCTCGAAACCTTACTACTTCATAATAACAATATCAAAGCAATTGATAAATTAGCGTTCCAACATCTCGATAAAATAGAATCACTGGACATTAGCCACAATTTGCTGAAAAATTTCAGCTGTGACTACCTCGGTTCAGTACGGATAATCTACAACCTTAACCTTGCTCACAACCTTATCACAGAGTAAGGATGTTTTGTTAATAAACAGTAACATTTGGCTCACCACAACTGAAAGAAATAACGAAAATATGGTTACAAAAACATTACTACTACATGAAAAGTTCCATTACAGGACGGATCTTATGTGCATACTACGAAGTCTAGTACGACTAAATCTAGCAAACAACTTTCTGGAAACTACCAAAAAGGTTATTCTGGATGGAGCTGACGCATTGCGTGAAATGAGCTTAAGGAACAATGGAATTTTCGAGATTCAGAACAACGCTTTTATTTGTTGCCCGAAGTTGTCCATGATCGATCTTTCACATAATCATCTGCGGATGATCCGAAAGGAAACATTTCTCCAACAAGTGGGTAGAAACTTTTCGTACTAATACTAATTTTAAAAACAGCAATACAATAACAGAGTAGTAACAACAACAATACAACAACATTAATAACATAACTACTTCTTAGCGATAAATTGCAGCTTCCACTACGAATTTAAAACAGTCAGAGGAGCGAGATTTTTGCAATGGTCTATATTTCCTTGATCCTTGCAATTGGTGGAAGTTAAATTTTAAAAAATATATGGAATGCACTATAGTCAGGTCCTATAAAAAAGACCTTTAAACACCGCCTCTTGAACGGAAATTCTGCTTAAAACGATGAAATCCGGTCCTTTATACAACCCTCCTAACACACTTTAATTCAATTTAACTTTCCCAATACAACAGCACTAAATGTTAAGAAACTTATCGATACCCATATTCGGTAAATATATATTAAAACCGCTATTTCGAACAAGGACATTAAAGAATGTAATCATAATAAGAGATTACAGGAGTTTCTCCACTATTTGGATATAAGCCACAACGGTTTGCAAAGCTTTCAACCGGGATGTTTTGGCAAAAATAATATTCTCTCGCTTAACATCGCCTCAAATGAGCTCGATCGAATACCGACCGAAGCACTAGAAGCGATTTCCGACATGTTAACAACACTCAATCTGAACAACAACCGAATACGAACACTCGATGCGACACAATTTCTTGGACTACGAAATCTCACCCAGCTGACTATCTCAGGAAATCTCATTGAAGCTATCGAAGAAGCCGCTTTTGAACACCTTCCTGTCCTTAAATATCTCGACATCAGTGATAACCCTGTGACTACATGGAGCCCATCTGCGTTTAAGGTACGTCATAATCTCAACATGTTTTCTATTACGTATATATAAGTATATATATGCACATATATGTTGTATGTACATATACATGTATATATATATATATGTAGAATACTAAATTATCAGGATATGAGTAGCAGTATACACACTCTAAACCTTGCGAATACGGGACTCTTCTCCATACCAAGAATGAGCTACTATGCAATTCAGAACTTTAACCTTAGCATGTAAGTGTTAAATCTCTTGTTGCTGTGATACTGACATATTCTTGAGTGGATAACTAAACATTTGCTTTACTACAGGAACAAGATCCATAACATCGATCGATCAGATATAGCAAGAACTTCCCAACTTGTTTCTCTCGACATCTCATTTAACAACTTACTACGACTCCAAGACAATGTGTTTGTTGATCTTATCTATCTCAAAACATTGAACATTAGTGGAAACCCTATTCGAGAAATTCTCGTACAACAGCTGAAGCCGCTTTATCAGGTATTCTTTACCAAATGTAAACTTTACGATCGGTATTAATTTCTTCCACTCTATACTATAACGCTATTCAGAAAATGTATATGCTTAATTGAACTTCTTCTAGATTTATCAAGAAAAAAATTAAGGATTTGCTTAGAATTTAGAGCTTTCATGCGATCAAAAGAATGAAAGTGATATTAGCATTTCTCTCAATAGGTTATAAAAGCATTAATATCAATACGTGGGAAAGAAGTAAAAGTTGATGAATCAGCGACAATACCACCAAGAGTTTTCCAAGCGGCCTAATGGTAGCACAAAGCGATTAAAAGTAAAAATAAAAAGAAAAAATGTTACTTTATCTCGAAACGCTATCCATGCACGACTTGATGTCGTTATCGAAACTTCCTGAACCACCGGACTTCTCTCATCTCGCTAACATTCGAAGTTTGGAGGTAAGAAAATCTTCTAGTAGTTCACGAAAATAAAAGTAAACTAAAACGAAATTAGATGATATTCAGGTATACAACATTGCCTCTAGCTTCCAACAGTACGAAATAACAAAAATTATTCAACATCTTCCACCGTTACGATCACTTCATATTGAGCTACGAGAGTCAGTAATCGATACACAGCTTAATGACATTGACATGGCCCATATGCGACAATTTACACTAACTGGAAAAAATATCACTAACGTCAGTTTGAGTGTTTTTTTATTCAAACCTTGAAATTTGAGAAAACAGATCAGCAGTTCTATTCGATGGAGTCGCCACGGATTTGAAAAATCCGTGTGAAATAACTTCCTCTCAGTAGAAAGAATGTATTGATTAATTGCAATAACCTACGAATGAAATAAAGAGAACTAAGAAGCGGAAACCATAGAAAATGTCTGTTTTCCAGATAAGCTCTATCGCATTTCATATGCTCAGAGGATACCGTTTTCATTTATCAATTACGGGTACATCTATACGTGAATTTCCTGAATCACTATTTACTGCACTTGACAATATCCATTTTTTATCACTGTATTTGCGTAACAACCAAATCCGATCGATCAATCCATTCAAGAACACAGTTCAACCAGTGGTCAATCAATATGGTACAATTCTGGAGTCAATCGACATAGCGGTAAGTGGGCTACACTTGCTATTTGATACTTGAATGGCCCGACTTCACTGGTTGTGCGGGCTTCAGCACGATCTCCATTTTTCGGAGATTTGTTGGTTAAGCCATTGTGGTTAGATGGTGTCCCGAGGTCACCCTGGCCAAAGTCTGCCCCAGGTGGTCACCACCGCAGACAATCGCAGCCCTTGTGGATCAGAGGGAGATTTGCCACCAGATGACTTTGACACCAGGACGGTAGTGAATCCTGGTATTGGTCTACTCTTGGCTAAGTGTCCTAATGGAAACGCTGCACTCTTTCTTAGCTTGGGAAATCCTGCCGAGACGAATCCCCCCGCTGTACATTACAGTCCGACACCCAGGAACACCTCTTAGCCACGATGAGGCTATAAACCGTTAGGAGGAAGTGAACTATAACGATATGTATATAGGATATCTCAGCATCCTTGTGTTATGTATGGAGTATTTTATAAATGGAATATCTTCCAGGAGAATCCAATCCAGTGTGACTGCTCAATGTTATGGGTTTCCAAGTGGATTCAATTATCACCAACGCACGCAAAAGAGTTCGAAAATGCTCACTGTGAGCATCACGTCTCCACGGACAATTCTTTGACTTACAAATACACCACTGAATTTGTGAACGGGTCACAATGCTTTCAACAAAAAGGACGATCGATTAACTCAATATACCTAACTTTTTTCACTACGTGTATAATCGTTCTCGTTTATGAACATCAATAAACAGCAAAAAGTAAAAAAATAAATAAATACAAAAACATCCGGCATTGATCAAACCATCACATATGCGCTTTGCATTTCGCTCCATTAAACATCATCGATGTTCGCAGGATCGACTTTCTATTAAACTCGGAATTGGATTATAAATTGCCCTAACGTAAATTGCCCTTATGACAGGGACGCTGACTGTGTGAGTACAAGTACAATATACCTGCTCTCTTGTAGTATTTACGGAGGCGATTATGTTGGCGAAATGGGCAGACCTTTATGTATCCGTATAAAAAAACACCTAGATGGCAAACAAAAAGCAAGATAAAGTACACCACTAGGGACTTATAGGATACAAACCATAGTGGAGACGACTTTGATATAAAACTCGCTATCCTCGCACGGGATCACAAAACACCAACGCGTAAACTTCTCGAGGCTTCTTGTATAAAAGCCAAAAATCCTAATAGCAAGGAGGAATGCCCTGAGATCACACGTGACCTCGCCCCGTACCTTCGTATCGATCATTTATGTGGGGAGGTGCAGTCGTCAACCATATTGCGACTCTGAGCGGCTGTTCTTCCTCGGTGAAAGACAGGTGCAAAAAGAGGTGGGTTTTTCGAGAAGCGGCCGATCTTGTGATTGTCGTTCAGATTTTCATCTCTTTGTCTGTGCCGTCGAAGTGTTTGACCTACCAAGTCACGTATTAGTGTACACTTCCAAGCTCTGAAGAAGGCGATTCTGCCGAAACGTCAGCTACGATTGTGTTGTACGTGTGTTATTGTATGGAAGTAAACATATGCTGTGTAACAACCTCGCGACTGCTGAAAAAGAAAACGACGAATTTATATTGGCGATGTTATCGAATCTATGTCTGGGTTTTACAGTGGCTTGCGAAGGCTTACCAATGTATCACGTAAGTGCTTTTACCTTCTCTCCTCGAACTCCTTTTGACTCTGCTACCTGTTTACCAACCTCAAACGGGTGGGCTTGGAGTGCCAGGTAGGAACAGAATCGACGTCAATATTACAGTGCACCACTAACTAATGCGTTACACACGCTCCATAGACAACAATAAACAATAAAAAATACCCAGACTATCAATAGATGTGAATTAGATGTCCGCGACAACAAGTATTGATGATGTAAATGCATTCGATACGGAAATGATGGCCACTTTCAAATTCTAACTAACATGAATGTGTCGTTTTCTTGCTCAGCAATCGCGAGGTTTTTAAACAGCATACATTTACTTCCATAAAGAAAACACAATACAATACAACGCTAGCTGACGTTTCGGCAGTATCGCCTTCTTCAGAGCCTGGAAGGGTATGCTGATATACAATCTACTAGGCCAAACGCTTCAATAACACTTACAAAAAGACGAAGAACTCTCCGGTAATTACACAATCAACAACTTCTCGAAAAACCCACCGCTTTTTCGTAACTTCCAATGAGGAAGTTTAGAACAGCTGATTATAGTCGCATGTGGTTGACGACTGCACCATCCCACATCAAAAATCGATGCGAACGTACGGGATCAGGTCGCGTATGACCTCTGGGCATTCGTCCCTGCTATTCATTGTAGGGCTTTTGGCATTGATCCAAAAAGCCTCAAGGAGTTTTCGCGCTGGTGTTTTGGACTCCTGTGCAAGGATATTGACTTTCACTTCAAAATCCTGGTAGTGTTTAGTTATATATCTCATATATATCTATATATATCTATATCTATATAAAGTTTATCTCTAACCTTACAGCCACACAAAAATGTGGCAAGCGGGAAATTAGAGAATTAATAAACTCGAAAACAATAA